AGTCTCTCCACTGCTTGGTTTCTCCTGGTGTGGAAAACGCATCCCGAGCGCTACTGCTTGCCTCAGCCTGCAGGGTGCCGGCCAGGTCAGGTCTGGCAATTCCTCTCTGCTTCTAAACTTTCTCTCCCTCCCCTGCTGCTCAGTCTGACTCCTTAACTTTGTCTTTGATGTTCAGGACTCCTAGATTGTATATAATCGATTCACTTGTTTTTTCAGGTCTTTGTTGTAAGAGGGACCACAGGAAGCATCTGATTACTCTGCCATCTTGGCCCTGCTTCCTAAAATAATAATGGCTTCTAGATGGAAATTTTTATAAGTATCAAATATTTGTAAAAGTGTTTTGTAAATGGAAAGGACTATTCAGTATTAATGTGTTAGTATACTTGTTTTTTCCCTCACTTTCCATGTCTATCATTAATTTATTCATTTAACAGATACTTAATATGACCTACTGTTTTAGTTAACTAGTGCTGCTGTAACGGAAATACCACAAGTGGGTGGCTTTAACAAACGAAAATTTATTTTCTCACAATTTAGGGGGCTAGAAGTCCGAATTCAGGGTGCCAGCTCTAGGGGAAGACTTTCTCTCTGTCTGCTCTGGAAGAAGTTCCTTGTCTCTGAACTTCTGCTCCTGGGCAGTCTTCATGTGGCTTGACATCTCTCTTCCCCCATGTCTCCTTTCTCTTGCTTGTTTAATCTCCTTTACATCTCAAAAGAGATTAACTCAAGACACACCCTACACAGATCTTCCTCATTAACATAACAAATACAACCCATTCCCAAATGGGAGTATAGCCACAGGAATACAAACCAAATCAAATCTGTTGATTCTGACTCATAGTGACCCTATAACCTTATAGGACATAGTAGAACTGCCCCATAGGGTTTCCAAGGAGCAGCTGGTGGATTCACACTGCTGACCTTCTGGTTAACAGCCGAGCTTTCAACCACTGCACCACCAGGGCTCCTCCACAGTCACAGAGGTAAGGATTTACAACACATATTTCTGGGGACACAGTTCAATCCATAACACCTCCTATGTGCCATACACCTTGTTAGACCCTAAGATACAATAGAGAACGAAGCATGTTCCCTGCCTTATAGGAGCTTTCTGTCTGGTGGAGGAGACACGCAAAGAAACAATGAGAGTACATTGGGATCAGTGCTAAGATCAGGATAAGAACAGTGGCGTGTAGGAACCCATCGGAGGTATTTGTGGAGAGGTGAGTTCAGGGAAAGCTTCCCAGTAGTAGCATCTAAGCTGGGTCAGGGGTCTGGGTAGAAGAGTGAGATGAGTGTCCTTATCATGTGCCAAAGCCTGGGGGTGAAGGAGGGTGTGGCACTCAGAACTGTGAGTAGGCAGTCTAGCTGGAGCTTACTGTGTGAGAAAGGTGTGAGTAGAGTTGAGCCTGGAGAATTAAGCTGGCGTTACATCACACAGGGCTTTGAGGTCATATTAGGGAGTTTAGAATTTATTTGGGACTCCCTAGGAAGTGCAAATGGTTACCAGTAATGCACTCAGCTGCTTACCAAAAGCTTGCAGGTTTGAGTCCACCCAGAGACGCCTCAGAAGAAAGTAGAGGTGCCTCAGAAGAAAGTCCTGGTGAATTACTTCCGAAAAATCAGCCATTGAAACCCTATGAAATACAGTTCTACTCTAACACATGTGGGGT